TTTTTCTTAACGTAAGGAAAAGGAAATTACTGATATCTAAATATGATGCACTTTGGTCTTCATTCAGTTATTACCCTTTTTATTTTTGCCAATAAAGAATTACCACTTTGGACCCACATAAAGATTTTTCTTTATGTGATTTACGTACAATCAGAAAATAATTATATTTTGCCTTCTAATTTCATTTTGAATTATCAGTCAGATTATTATATATGCAAGTCTTTATATGGTGTGCCTTGGGGATGAACTCATACATGACATCAACATAACTCATCAAACAAACAAACAAAAAAAAAGTAGATAAATAAATAACATATAACTTGTAGCATTATATAGAAGTGTACATAACACTCACATGGAATAGATGACTTTTTATTTTTGATAGTACTCACTTAATGTAAGTGTAATGTACACTAGTATGTACTTATATCATTTCTCATTAAATAATATCAGTCTATCATTCTTACACATTACATCAGCTTTAATTCACTATTCATCCATTCACATAATTTTAACAAATAGTCTCTTCATATCATATTCTCTTACTTTTACATCAAATCAATTTTAATTATTATTTATTAAGTATTATTTTATAATATAAACCCAAAATCAACTAACAACTAACCATACAATATTTTCATATTAACTCTGATTAACAAAAAATCCATTTTAAGCAAAAAAATTTGTATATATTTCCATACTAACCTTACAACATTTCCCTATATATTCGACTTGTTTCCTTATCTGAAACGAGGCGCTCGTGAAAGAAATAAAAATAAATCATAGTCATTAGATCGAATGATCTAATGACTACAATTAAAGATGAGTTACTTTTATATCTCTATCTATTAATATATAATAGAGATATGGATTTATCTTAAATATAATGAAAATTCCCGCTTAAAATTTTCAGNTTTGTTTGTTTGATGAGTTATGTTGATGTCATGTATGAGTTCTTCCCCAATCTTATGAGTTATGCCTTCCACTTAGTACCTATCAAATGTGAAAGCTATCTATATCTATATCTATATAATGGACCAATTCTTATTGCCATAATTGACATAATTTTGGGCGGAAAAATTTTTCGTCTATATTTGACATTTAACTAATATATATTTATTTATTAGCAAATCTTATGCATGAAAAACATAATTAATTTTTATACACTCAATGACTATTACTCATTAACTACAAATTGGCTTAAATTGAAACTTTGACCGTAGATTTATTAGATATACTTTTAGTAAGATCATATATTAATTTAATAGTAATTTATTGACACAATTCAAAAATTTATTATGGAGATTGATTAAATTATATATATTATCATCTATGGTTGTATATATTAATTTAATTAACTATATTCACTATTCAAAAGTACTTAAAATATTTAATAAAATAATCAGAATAATCATATTTAAATCATAATAACTTAATAAATAATTTAAAATATTAATAAAAAATTCTAAAATGTAGTCAATTTAACTATAAAAAGGTACATCCCCATTGAATATATCATATGTAGTGATAATACTATTGAATATTTAAATAATATAGTGATAAAAAAAATTGATGGTAGGGTGCAATTCAGAATTATAAATTTCACCTTAGAAGTATCTATGTACATTAAAAAACTATTCAATTTTTAAAAATATATATTTGTCTCTTATATACTATTTTATAAATGAAAAATAAGTTAATAAAAAAGCAATGTATAATAATTTAAATTATAGCACTTGGTAATTATGGAAATATATAATATATCTAAATATTCGAATAGATACTATGTAACTCATTATATAGGTTGGAAAAATGAATTAAAGAAATAAATATAAATAAAAAATGAAAACATAAAAATAAAATATTTAAATATTAAAAAATTGTATGTTGCATAAGGATTAAAGTTACTAAAAATTAAAATTTATTATCAAAGTTTTTAAAATTTAATGCACTTAATAATTATAGCGGAAGATAAATATTATGGGTTAAAGGTTGGTCAATTATCAAGCAATGTGCAAATTATGAATTGTTGAAAAAAAGTATAAGACAATGATAAACGACAATTTTATAAGTACATACAAGTCATTTATATGCAAATATCATATGATCTTATACATTTATAATATTGTATAAACTTATAAATAATAAAATTTATATAATAAATAGTCAAAAACTACAAAAAAAAATAAAATATATAAAAATAGAAATTAACATTAATAGTAAATAAATAAATGTCATATTA